AAAGATCTCTTCCCGGTTCATAGAAAAGATGATAATGCCGATGTCCGGTCTTATAGCCAGTAAAGTGTGTACAATACGTTGCGGATCCATGTCAGGTATGTTCAGGTCCATCAGCACAATATCAATAGGCTGCGCTCTTACCATAGCTACCAGGTCATCACCGTTTGACACATCATATAACCTGGCACCTGGCATATTGGGCTTCAGCATTAATTTTAATCCAGACCTTATGATCGGATGATCATCAACAATGAGAATGTGCAGCATGGCTTGGTCTTATGGCTTTCGAAACGATGGCGAAACTACGAAGGTTTCCAGGCTTGCTTTCTGTTTTTTTAGTTCTCTTAAGTAACAGAGCGAGCATTATTCAATTTCGGAAAACAACTTTTCGTAGATTACCGAAGCTATTAAAGAGCAATTTTTTAACTTTAAAAATGCGCATCTCTATTCTCCTCCCGATACTGTGCCTCTGTTTTTTTAAAAGTTTCTCACAGGCAGACATCATGGGAAAGATGGCACTTAACCATTCGATAAATCCGACCACAAACCTTTTTGTACACTTTGATAAGAACGTCTATTCCAATAGTGAAACCATTTATTTTACGGGCTACGTTTTAAAAACCGGAAGATTCGATGTCCATCGCCATAAGATCCTCGCGGTTTCATTAATCAGCGATCTGGATACTGCGATTGTGAAGTCGGATAAATTTCAAATCAACAATGGACTGGCTTTTGGCTCGATGACATTACCAGAATCCATCCCGGCCGGCAATTATCATCTTATTGCTTATACAGACAAAATAGTCAACAGCAGGCCAGAACTGGTATTCACACAGCCAATTACTTTAAAAACGGGCATTATCCCTCCGTTTAAGGCAAGTATAACATTTGCAAAAAGTTCCGACAGCACCAATCATCAGTTACTGGTTGCCGTAACTTCAAATGACCATACACCTTTGCCAAAACCCTCCACCGTTCATTATAACTATGGCGAGGTCAGGCGAACTGAAAAAACGGATGCTTCCGGCCAGTTACGCATCACCTTACCCAAGCAGCAGGCAGCCATCGGTCAGCAGCTACGGGTGAAGATCAATTACCTGACGGACAGCACTTACCTGAGCATACCCCTAGCCGCCGGTAAAATAAAAACACAGGTAAAATTCTATCCGGAAGGAGGGCATTTAATAAACGGTATCCAATCGACCATAGCCTGGGAAGTAACCGATCTACAAAAACAACCGGTCGCCCTGACGGCACTTTTATACAAGAACCATACAATAATCGATACGCTAAAAACCGGTAGCTATGGTATCGGCAAATTCAAGGTAACACCAGAACAAGGTGCCAGCTATCATGTAAAATTGATCGGCGGGGATTGGGCAGATAATATTTATACCCTGCCCCAGGCCCTGAATAATGGTCTGGTCATCAATATGGCAAACGCGGTTGCAGATGATACCCTGAGATTATTGGTGGAAAGTAATAGCTTATCAAAATTCAATATCCGGCTGCACAATTACAGAGAC